GATGATGATGATAATGATGATGATGATGATGATGATGATGATGATGATGGTGATGATGATGATGATGATGATGATGACGGTGATGAAAATGAGAATGAGGATGATGCTGATGGTCAGCTGTTGCACCTTTACTGTGAATTTCTGCCATTCGAAAAAAACGTGATTGCTGAGCTATTGTCCAATTATCCTATCCTAGATAGGAGCAGTTGACATTCCGCGGTTGGTTTGGGACCACCGTGAGTAAATTCGCTCCTAAACTCCTGCATTACCTGGAGTTCAGGAATCCCATCTGCATCTATTCGTGTGAGATGGCCAAATGTCTAGAGGGCGAATTTACTGACCGGAAGGTCCGTGGTCCGAACCCGACCTCTGCCTCTCGGATTCCCCTGTCTACACCTGGGCAACCTGGCAGTATTCCAGCCGTCGTGCTTTCTTCGGGTGGCATGGTAAGGTAGGTAAGGATACTACAGCTGAACGACTATTCGTACGATATTTGATTGGTTCGCAACCAACTGCCGAATAGTTTATTTGCCTTGGATTATTTGACTGATTACTGACCAGCTACTCATATCTTCGTGTTTTCTTCATGTCTTCAAATAAATTGGGGATACTGTTCTGTATAGTAGTCGACATACGTTTCAAATACTTTTATGATTTGCTTTCCTGTCTACCGAAACAGCAACGAGGCACAACTCACAGAGTTGCGGGAAACCCCTTGAATGCAACCTTTATTGAAACCCGGTGAGCCTCAAGTTGGACGAAGCTGTCAGTGGACTGTCCAGAATTCTTTAACAAACCAGCGAGTAGCATGTTCTGATCAATGAGTATACTTCAAAATCCCGAATACTCAATGAGTATACTTCAAAATCCGGAATATCTTGTTAACTGTAATATGAAACGGTCATTGTGCCGTATATTCAGTTCCAGAATTTCATAGAAGCGGGATTTATCCGAGTCCCTCTCGTGGGCATACAAGGGACTGTGTGCCCCATAACAAACAACACGGTGCCACAAACTGGATGGGACACCTGAATAGCGTGTGAAACAGTTGGGGTGTGGCAGATGAATCTGATGAAAGCCTGTGGCATCACCACAGAATATTTGTCGCCAAACCGTATATGACCTAGAAATGCAATTATGCGCAAATTTTCTAATGATTCGTCTGTTTAAAAATATCCGGTAACTCGAGCTGGGTCATTTCTTTACTGCCACAAGAGCGACAGGTCATTGAGGTACATTTAAACAAACAGTGTACCTTAGATATGAACTCTTCAATTTAACTTGTCCCAATGTAGCTGTTGACTTGCCGGACAAAGTTAAACCTCGCTTCGTTAGTCCCGTGTATGTGGAAGGTATTCCGCTTGGATCAACAAACAGAGTCTTGAAGAAGGCAATCACACAGGTTGATTATTCTCACCAACAATTTCTGAGGTAATGCAATGTGGGCCCACCTAAGCTTAATTCGTTGTCCAGCCTAATGCCACGAGCAGTGATCATGACATTGGACCTTAAGGCTTCAGCAAGATCACCGTTCGGGAATCGATGTATGTTTGTGAGTCCATCTTTATTCCCAAGATAGAAAGACGGATAGGACACTACCAAAGCCCATATGTCCTTTACAAACAAAACTACTACAGAAAGCTAGTAGTAGGTGGCCTAGGATGGGATCAGTACTGCATGACCGGATTACTTACATTGGTGTTGGACGGAAACGTGGTGAAGAAAATCTATACCAGAGGTGAGCATGCACCACTTATGTCCCATCAGTAGGAACTGAGTGAAAGCAAGCATTACCGTAGTAGTCCTCTAGTCTTCTAATGTTGAATGCGTTTTCAGTAAGGAGCAGTTTGATTAATCACGAGTTGCATAAGGGGACAATGCATTTTTGGCAAACGGAAATGTGGTATTCCCAATAATGAAATTACAAAACGAGCAGTTTTCCCTAGGCGGCTGGGTGAAAGACAGTCCAGATCACTCTGACAAGAGAAAAAAGAACTTACTTTTGTTTGTTTTCTGAATAGTCATCTATTATGTGTATATCCCTTATCCAGAGTCTGATGGTCACGATCAACCGACACGATGATGGCTTGGGGGCAGGCTTGTCAGCATCATTTTGTCTATTCCCCATGGATCACGTGTTACGACGATGGCGACTGTACAAGTGATCGACAAACAAAGACAAATGCATCTGCAATCGTCACGTGCCTTTGGGTCAGCAGTTTTAGGGGACGAATCAGCTGCTTCATAATAGATCAACATAAGACTGGGCAACTACTTCTGAGTTGGTGGATCGATACATTTCAGAATGGGAATAGGAAAGCTACATGGTCCTAGCCTCATAATCACCCCTAAGTAAGGAAGCTGAACATGAATCCTCGAAACTGAAAGTATAAAAGGTAACACTAAAATCTGTGGACGGTGTTTTGACTAAGCCCTTGTAACTTCTTTCTGTTTGAATTTGTATGGCAGTATTCTCACGTCTTTGCACAGAGTGTAGTTTCACACATGCATTCCAAGTCCTCTCCCTCAGTTGGTTGTACGGTCTGCGAATTATATGGAATATGGATCCTGAGGGGAAAGTTGTGGCAACCACCAGACCAGCATAAGGATGACTAATGGATTTTGTAACACCTGAATACAGCTGAAACGACCTAAGACCGATCTTTTGTGAAGAGACTCTCCTTAACTTAGAACTGTCTGGTTGAAAACCTGGAAAAGCGAGAGTACTGACCAACCAATATAGCGGTTCATTTTCCCATCCCAGTGGCTCAGTATGATGAGTTACTGATGACAAGGAACTAGGAACCAGTCCGACAAATTTGTGTGATCTGAAATTATTTGCACGTGCGAGGGGCTTATCGTAGGATGTCTGGAACCTAAGCTGGAAACTTAGATACGCCGATTTAACTCAGACATAGGAAGATCCAGTCATATGTTGAAATATCATCAGCAGATGAGAACGTTTTCAACTTAATTCAATTTTCTTGCTGACTCTAACTGCGGGTGGATGCGTGAAAGAAATCCAAACATACCGGTTACCTGCGCATTCGAATTGAACACTTTTCGAATTTGTCCTGGCATGAAAACAACGTATGTCTATAGAAAATGCGCTCCGCTTAACTCATTCATGCTATTGACGGGTGGTACATTCCACTCACGGTGTCGCAGTGGATGCCTCATGATACCTCATGACAGTTAGTAGATTAAGTGACGGCATTCACTGGACTGTGGCATGAACGCTGGATATCATTCTGCTCTGACGTAATACACTATTCATAAGGTTGTTGGAAACCATTCGACAGCGCACGACCGGTTTTTCCCTTCTTAGGGCTCATCGAGTAGGCGCAGTCCCCGAGAGATGCAGCTGAGTTCCAGGTGGGTCTCCCGTTAGAAACAAATTGAATGCAAAAGAGTGTATTTCACTCTGTTCACTTTTTGCGAAGTTCTGTCCTTGGTTTACAAGTAACTCACAGCATGATGCGAAAAACTCCTGCTCATAAAAAGCATTTTCGGTTTGATGATAACAACAATTAGTATCAAATTGGGAGTATTTTGGTGATTCATAGCCAGCTGCTCACTTGCCTGACAAACTACTCATGCCCTTACAGTAGCACCATAGTTGCAACATACATTCTGGATGCTGGTCGATACATACGCACTATGCTCCTCAATCCCGATGCCCATAAAAAAATTACAGTGGTACTGCCTTTCTACGTCAAAACAATATAAACTCAATAAAGGTCATACTACGACCTAGTACTTCACCAGTCATGTTCTGTGTGTAATCGGCGCTTCAACACAATTCTGACATTGTAGCCAGAGCGACTCGGAAATCTTTTGATACCAGTCAAAAGATGACCTAATGTTCTTTCCTGGTAAGTCAGACCCTATCAGGAGGTTCACATAGAAAATTGCCGGGTTATAGATGCTTTCATTCGTGGCAGCAGTTCTGACGGTATATATAAGTAAGTGACAAAATATGTTCGTACTTCCTTTGGACGTTTCACCTGTTGCCTCCGCATTCAAGTTAGTTCATCTGGATGTCATTCAGCGTGCGGAAGCTCTGCTCATTCTGGACAAAATGACCAGGTAGAAGAAGTTAAGTATACTTTGTTCCAGTAACTCTAGTATTACATAACCTTAGAATGCAAAATGATACACAGTGTACTATTGGTTGTGCTCCGGGGGACAATTAGTTGCTCCTTCTGGCAGTGAAAATAGACACATACTCGTGAGCATATTCAAAAATAGATGCCGTCTTATTAGTTCATTGTGTTTCGGTACAAACGTTTCGGTGGATTTGGAGATACATGGGAATTAGGGGTACTCATTCCTACGATACAGTACCTCAAGGACCTTTGGGGCTTTCCTGAGGGTGACCTCTCCATTTTTCCTCTTCTTTGTGCCCGTTACAACATGTGTTCGTGCCTGACCACAAAGGATGTTACGAAATCTATGAGGAAATGAGTTCTTATCAGCGAGATCTGTCCTGGAAGTAAATCTTTATTGCAGATCTCCAACAGATTGTTACAAAATCGCTCAAAACTTAGTACTAGCGTAGAGCCGGTTAGAAAGTTACCCGTGAAATGGCGTATGGGTTTCCAGGCTGGAGACGGACCAACTTCAAATCGTGGACCCCTGTTGGGGCAAATTGCAATTCTCAGACGCGTTTTTTTTCACTATGGAGAGATGCGTCGCACCTGGAAGCTTTTCAGTACGGTATAACTGGTAGTTTTCCAGGTCATTCATCTGCAGACTAGGTCTTCCCATGATTAGAACTAAAATTATGATTTTTCGTGTTTGCCTGAAGGCCACCTTAGTGTCGGAACTCCAGGTGTCCCTGTTTTCAGCTGATTGGTGATTAGCTGTTTTAGAGTGTGTTTCGATCATTCCTTCCAAGTGACTGAAACAGAGGAATTGGCTTCGCATCAGACTGCGCCCGACTGCAAAGGAATTTGGGATTTGATCTTTTCATTCGACCCAAAGGACCGTTCACAGGCACTGCAAGGAAAACTGCACAAAACCCCCCTTTTTGGTGACTTTATTCTACCACCTGTACACTTTTCAAACATTTGGTGAGTTTATCTACTTAATCATGAAGTATCAGTTCTGACGACAGGGTGCTGCCAAGGTAACAGGAATTCATGCAATTTGCTATCTTACAACTACCAAGCTGAATACTTTATGCTGATTTACGGGCTAGCTGAGAAGCAAGTGTTTTAAAAGATAGTTACATCCCTGTCAGCCTTAACCATTTCGTCCAACCCCGCTGGTCTCCATTGTCGCATTTGGCGTATGGCTGTCAGCAATTCTGGGCAGTAGGTACATCAGTTAGATAGAGGTTCAATTTAACTTAACACAGTTGAGCTATACCCTCATCATCATCACCATCATCATCAACATCATCATCACCATCATCATCATCATCATCACCATCATCATCATCATCATCGACAGCATGAAATCGGTGTTCAGCACTGATGCTTTGCTGCCGTACAGTCATGATTTATTTGAAAGCATTACGATGAAGAGAAGTATAAGGGCGGAAAGTGAAGGGACCTGGCGCTACCTCAATACAATCATTCTGAGGTGTCTACACATTAAGATACTCATTCAGGCAATCTGTATAGAAACTGACAACAAGGACGCTACTGATATCGATCAGCACTCATATCTTACGGCATTTCTAACAAGGCGCAGCGGGGGGTCACGCGGTCCCCGTCCAGTAACACTGAAAGCACCCAAATTCTTCGTGATCTCTTTTACACCTCTCTGTCAAGTCAAGGATTGGCTATGTATCCCAACTTATCATGTCCCGATCGGTGGAGTGGCGTTGAAATTTGGTGCTTCTAAGCTAAAGTAATGCTATATGACTTTTTCTGACTGAAGATGCCGAACTTTCGGTCCATAGATTTGTCTGTCTGGCAAAGAATTATACGTAGCAACGACTATCCACGGTCGATTAGAGCCCCTCATTTCGCTTCGTCCTCAGGCGTCCTAAAACCTTCCTTTTTGTCACTTCATTGAAATAATAAGTATTTTGAACACCATATGAATACAGCTTATAGAGGAAACCGGCCGAATTTACACACAGTCGGATGTTATCACTCACTGTGTTTTGTCTATCTTATCTTATCTTGTTCATTTATCTGCCATCATCTTCCAATTTCTATCATAAATCAGAGCAAGGATACACGGTTGCAATTAGTTCACATTTTACAGCAGCGGATTTAACTTCGTCGTCGTTATCATCACAGTAGACGTAGGCATCCTCATAAACACCACCATGTCATTCGATAGGTCCCACTGGGCATATGAGCGAATCAACAACATCTTGCGGGTATCGGCTTTGTGCTGTCACGTGACCCATTATCTGATGTTACGTCCAACGTTGTGGCGCTTGCGTCATAGCTGTGATGCATTCTTTGACAACACTCATGCTGCTGTTGTGGAGTTGGACTTAAATATTAACGTGGCCAACTCACTACTCGTCGCGGTGACAGTTTAGCGTTCAGATTTCAGTGTGAAACCAGCATCTACTGTGTAACTGGGAATTCAGTGAGTATCAAACGATATCCTGTAGAGGAAAATGTCGGTAGCTCATGTAGCGTAGATGGTCGTTGGCTTGTTCGCTGAGGTGGGCAATTCGATTGCGAACGTTCCATCATCAATCGTGTGGTTGTGCACAACCACTAACCCACCGCTACGCACCACTACACTTCCCAATAACGCACTGATGATGTTACCTCAATCGGTGATGAAACGTTTGCAATCAAATTGCCCAGCTCAGCAAACAAGCCAATGGTCATCGAACGATATTTTTGCGGAAATAAAAAAACTTCTTCCGATTTAATGTGAGTATTACTGGGAACAGTATTTCAACACCCACCATCGACAAAGCCTAAACTGAAGTGAATTCATATCGGTACGCATCATTTTGTTCCCAGGATTGTGAATTTCAGGTGCCAGTCCGAAATATGTCTAGGATACCATGAGATTCGACTGCCATCATCAAAGCTAATTCGAACTTATGTGGTCAAATTATCAGCCGTAGGCTGTCCGTGGAACAAAGCTCAATGTTGAACCATATTCTCACTTGGAAATTAACTATCCTCAAGCTGAATGTATTGCTTAATTGAACGATATCCAATGTAGTAGTATAATCTTATTGACCCGACATACTTTGGTATGTTGATTATCATCGAAAACTAAGCATAAGACGGTAGCTGCGCAGTGCATTCAATGAATAACAGCATAAACAAGGGATTCAGCTTTCCGATAATCCCGGCTTCCTTCTCAAATGATACAGTGACTCCACTTGCGTAGAATTTGGCGTTCAGTCAAAAATTAAGAATACTGGAGCTTCTAGAAGTACGCTTCGGTTGGTAAGTCCCGAGAAGGGCGAAACAGATAGTGAATTGTCGACGAGTTATCAGCGATGTTGTATGACTATAGTTAGATCAAAAGAAATCAGTGTTTGTTTTCTACTTTGGTAGACGGCTATCTTGGAGACGCAGGCCCATAAGTGAACACACTTGAACGCATTTGAATCAAAATGGCGTGACGCATTTACGTACAAACCTGGTAGCCCTACCACCCATCTGGATAGTCATCTTGAAGCCACTCAAGCAGTGAGTAAAGTTGAGTGCATCGTTCGCGCATGTCGACGTGCATTATCGAATAACTTAAGACATCCTGGAATGGCCATTTTTAGGAGAGGAAACGTGGACGTCACAGCTTCATGCTGCTGATTGTGCGTCTCTTCCACACATGCCTTCGGCTGAGACTCTGATGCTGACTTTCAATGTAACAAAACGTTACCGACGGACTCGATTGCGATAATGGTATGAAAATACGTTAGACAGGTGTGTTTAGGAACAATCGGCAGATTCAATACTGGGTAACGTTTCCGTTTTGACATAAAGGCTTCGTCACGTCAAGGGACTTACTTACGAGGTCCGTCGAGGTTTAGGGCAGAAGGAGGACCAATAAGCTGAATCAAGCTAAACTTCTGTTAGGAGTCGGTCAAGGGATTGTGTATGCAGGAGTGGGTGACCAAGTGTTAGGTTGATGGAGAAACCTAAATGGATTTCGATTCAGCCCAGGGCCTAGTTCTTTTGGTGAGGATCCCTCTTCAAAGTCGTTTGCACCTTTCATCCGTCTATGTGGATGAGCTAGTGATACGATAGTTGTGTGAGGAAGAAGGAATCTGTGAGCTTTGGTAGGGTTGGGATTTCTGTCCCCAGTCCTAAGTTTGCTAATGGTTCTACGTAAAGTGGCCACCACACACAGTCACGTGTCAACTTGGGTTATCTAAAACCGCTTTCCATACGCTCGCCGGTTCCACGCCCTCGATTCTATTCACGCTGTGATGCTTGGTGAGTTCCGCCCCCTCGGCTACGAGCCGCTGTGGTGACGATTGCGGTCCCCGCCATAAAACTTCCACATTCTTCAGATCCATTCCGTCTTGTGTCTGACACATGTACCGCCATCGCTGATTCTTTAACCAGAGTTTGGTATTCTTCTGCATTCATTGGTGGTTTGTTTATCATTCTTTTATGCTCACCCGTTCTGTTGTGCAGCTTCCTGGCAGTTTATCCTATGTAAACCGTAGAACAATGGTTGCATTTAATATTCTATACATAGTCCCTAGTTCTTTCAGCCGAGATGTGACCTTTTAGTTGCACCAAAACTGAGTGTAGTTTTTTCCTTCTGGATTACCACACGAACTTTGACTAAGTTCATCAATCTTCGAATTACCTCCTGCTTTATATGAAATGACTGCTGTGCCAGTTCATTCCTTAATGGGTCTTGATAACGGAGCAGGTATACTTGGAGACGCAGGCCTGCACGGGTTAGACACGTTTCTTCAAGGTTCAATGTGTAGCAGTAAATAAGAGGTAATTACTGTCTGCTTACGAGGAGTGGGCACGTTGAAATAGACCCCTGTGCTTGGTTTGAAAAAATATTGGGATGAGGATGAATTGGGATGAACTGGGATTATTAGCCGCAGTGAGGTAATTAGGGCGCGAATTCACTGACTGAAAGGTCCTTGGTTCAAACCCAACCTCCGACTCTCGACTTCCCCTGTCTAAGCTTGGGTAATCTGGCAGTATCTCAGCCCTCTTGCAACCTTCGGGTGGCATGGCAGTTAGGCACCGAAAGGGGTAATGAATAGGTACATCGAGGTCGAACTCCCTTAGTCTTTATCATTTCGCACTTTCATCAAGTTTATTTGGAGGCAGTACATCCACCTTCAGACTAAGTGTATTCTATCAGCTACGCATTGATCGTTTCGTACTGGAGATGTTTTGCGTTGTCTCAACAACATGATGGACTACGTAAAAACATCTAGAAGCGCCCGCTGGTGCTCAAATCTAACAGTGGATCGAGTTCGGTAACTATTATGTGGATACCATGGCGGGTAGACTTAGGCTTCAGTGTTCCTTTTCTCATCGGTGGCTGCCAAATTACCATCTTATGACGATAGCACTCTTTTTGAAAGGTTGGGAACTCATATTAGAAACCAGTCACTGGTGCCTAGCGTCGGCAACTATTTTGATCGTCTGAACCGCCTAATTGCTCCCAGTACAGTGGCTAGAAACGGTGGACATTGGGTTGAACAAAAGTAGTTGTCTCAAACCAGCTCATACACTAGCTGATTTCCGTGAAGAATTAGAAAAAATTCATCCACGTATCGAGATGCCGCGAATGTGGTCGGTGCACTATGATTTACGAGTAATGGTAGCGTCTGCTGTGTGCATTTAGCGGACTTTCGGAGATAAATGAATATATCTAACTACCATCGAATTCAGGTCATAGCGTGGTACCAATCCCGGCCGTGGTTCGAAAAGTGAGGGGGGAACTCTCATCAGATAGGTGATATCATAAAACTACGCAAACGCATTGGGGAGCTTCCTTAATAGAAGCAAGCAGCAGATGATCGTCACAGTGTAGAAGTCCATTTGAGTGACATGCCACGAACAGGAGAAATGCATACTCATGAGTAATACCGCAGTAACAAATTTCATGGTACCGACAGCAGCCAGACGAGCAACCAGGAACACAATTGGACAACCAGCGATGAAATATGTGGCGTTTTCCAACGCTAGAACCTGAAGATTAGCTGCCATATGGGAGACAGGACAACGGAGCAACCAACGGAACCGCTCGACCGAACAACTAATCGCGATCAAAGGCCATCCACTGCTAGCAGCACGTATATTAACACATGCGTAACGCTACTCAACGCACAACCGCTAACCCACCGCTAGACACCACTACGCTCCCTAATAACTCACTGGTGATGTCACCTCGATTGGTGATGAAATATTTGCAATCAAATTGCCCAGCCCAGTGAACAAGTCAACGACCAGATATGGATCCAACAGTAGACAGTCCCCAAGGCGGCTTAGTTCTCTACTTTTTTGATTAGTTTAAGCACATTCCATGTTTCTATTACCTTGCTTTTTATGTTTGTTTTCTACCACACCTGAGAAAACATTAAAAATTTCCGAAAATTTTAAAAAGAACGTCTGGAAAATACAAAGTATTTCGGGAAAAAACAGTCACTTCTGGCTATTTTTTGTTGCAAAATGTCGTTAGTTTCTCACACTTTTTCCGGTGTTGAAGCCAGTCTGTCATAATTACTTGACAGTTGATACAGAGTCTGGTTAGAACAGGGTGTGCGGAACCACCTACAAGAAGTTTCATTTTTAATGGCTAGCCTTCTCCCCAAATCTGAGTCACTCTCTAATACTCTTTTAGTGTACCACACATAAAAACTGAAATCCCTCGTTTATCTCTGTCATTTCAGTAGCTTATCTCGCAGGTGAGCTGACATTTTGGCGATTGAAATAAACT